GCTTGCGAATGCGCTCAAGGATTGATTTCCCAGAAATGCGATTCTCATCTCGTTTATATATTTTCAGCTCTTGACAACCCATAATTAAAAATCAATTTGGCGCGCTTAGAAGCGGCTCATGTCAGTTTCTAGCAAACATACAAAGCGTGTATTATGCAAGAGCCGACAGGCAACAAAGTCTATCCATTTTTATTTTTGTTTTTTTTTTATTTATGTATGAAAAAATGAAGCGACTTGGAAGGGGCTGATAGACCTGAAGATATCTTGTACTATGAGTATAATTTTAAATAGTTATATTGAGAGGGAGAGGTGTATGGAACTAAGTATTTATAGTAAACTTAGCTTAGATGCAACTGCGTATATATTATTAAGTCTCCAGATAGTATGATTTTAAGGAAATTCTTTTATAAGAATTGTTCGTTATATTAGAGTATATATTTTAAATTTCAGCTGAAAAGCTTTAAAAGGTTTCGAGATTGCTGCAAACATATCTAAATGAAATATCTAAAGATGAAAAACTGTATTTATATATTTACATACTTCTTCCCTCTGCTATCAGTCATCTATCCACCTATCGATCTACTAAAACATTACACCCCATTCAGCCCATTTTCATGGGTATACCAAAATAATAATAATAAAGTTTGTGCCCCAAGTCTTTTGTTTTGTCAAAGGTGCAGGCAACATAGCCAGCAGTCGCATCAACGTGAGCTCAACATATCAACACAAATATCTGAAAACAAACACATATAACATATATAATACACACATACATATACCCATGTACATATGTATTTGTATAGGTAGGCTCTGTCGGTTATGCGGAGTTCACGCTATGTCAAGCATGATTTTGTTGTTGCTCCGGGGCTGAGTGGTTAAGTGTAGCTGCCGTCGCCTTCCCAGCTGCCATAGAGACTCATTAATGAGCGCACAAACTGGCATTTGACAGATTTTTTAATTAAACCATACAAATTGCAATTTTTCATGGCTTTTGCGCTTTTTCAGTTACCCATATATTTTTCTTATTTTTTCTCGCGTTCTCTTTCCCTCTCTCTCTCTTCGTAAATAAACTGAAATGGCAAATGCGAGCACGCAGCTGCCCTATTTAACCCTAAAAGTGTTATGCTTACCGAAAATGTTATTCATTTTATGCTTAATTAATCTTTAATATGCAAACATATTCGCCGAAGATCGTGAAATGCTTTTCGTTTGTCTCTTCAGTTATGTCTTTATTAATGTTATTTACATTTATGTCTAATTAAGGTTAAGTTACATATCTAAGTAGATTGCATAGTGAGTTTAGACAATGGACCTAGGACTTGGGGTATGTAAAAATAGTATTACATCATTCATATTTAATACTTTAATCCTTTTTATATTATCCTATTGGAATGTGTGTAAAGCTCTTCATAATTCCACCTAAAGTTTCCTCCAAGCTTAACGTTATACAAATTATGAATAATTATCTAATTCTCTGCTCTATCAAATACGTATAATAAATCTCTGCTCTCAACTTTTCAAACTGCTTTTCTATCCACTCGTAATCGATAAAAGCTCTTTTTATCAAACAAAAAATTTACATACGCACTTAGCTAATGAATTACGCTATGTTTACGTAATCATCATCGTTATGAACAGTATAAACAACATTATCATGATCATCATCATCATCATCGAGTTGCAACTAGTCTGCCCGTGTTGCTCCTTTCACTTTCTGCACAGCGAGTGCCTAATTATTCCTAGCCGCCTACACGGCATCCCCCCGCAGCACCCCAGCTCCAGCTACCACTTCTTCCCCAACTCCTGCATTGTCCGTAGCTGAGATTTCGCACATAATTAAATTGCGCAAAAATTTACATGAAATTAATCGTTTTATTGTTGTGTCTCGCTGGCATGTGCCATGCGGAAGCGTCGCCCTACCAAAAATGGACACCGAAAAAACAAAAAACCGTAGAAAAAACGGTAGCCAATGTCCACTCCAGGCAGCTCCACAAAAAGCAGCCGCAACTCGCAAGATTTATGCGCCAGCCCGTGAAGGCAACAATTATTGAGGCATTTGCCAAAAGACAAAAGCAAAGGCAAAGATTCATTAGATTTCTTGCTTTCAACTCATTTCACTTTCGCAAAGCGTAATTACGTCACCTAGATGATTATTCGGCGAAATGCATGGAAGTAAATATTTATGTGAGGTCTGGAAATGTGGTGCAGCCATATGAAGATTCTTTGAATTGGGTTCTTTCAACTATTGACCGAAAGTCAAGTAGAAAAGTTTAAACATGGCTCTCACTAGCTCTGACTACAACTGAATCCCAGCCATACATCTCTAGCGATCCGCTCATCAATGCCATTAAGCACTCCTAACTGGAAATGGAAGCTCTTAACTTGTAATTCATTTTAATGGACTCTGGCCTTAGCTAAAATGGATCACTGCCGAACATAATCTTTCATAGATTTGAAATATATATTTATACAAAACAAAACTGATTGAAAATAAGTTTTAAAGAACTCTAGCCTTGGCTAGAATATATAGATGTCAAATATACATTTAAATATACATATTAGATATTACTGAAAACTACTTTGAAAGAACTTTAACCTCAGCTAGATTATCTAATTCTACATATAGCTATCAATGATATGGTTGCATTCCAAAATCAATAATATTTATCTATAGTATATATTGTTAAACAATATTAAAAAGAACTCTACCCTCAGCTAGACTTTCGCATTCTCTAAATAGATCACATATATAAGTATTTATTTACTTATAATATGTATGGACATCTCTAATCCCTAAGCTATTTCAACTTCCATTTCACATCAATAAACTTTGCTAGCAATTTGATTCGTATTTGTAAGACTTATCCGCTTATTTGAGCTCTCATCTTCCTTCCTTGATCTAACATCAATATTCAGCAACTCAGCTCAGCGATGTTTTTGTTTTTCTCCCATTTTCTTTATTCGTTTTTTTTTTCTGTTTTGAAATTTGTGTAAATTATGTATTTGTGCACTTTTGATTTCATTTAAACGAAGTTTCCTGATGGCCCCCAGCGCATGTCAAATATCAAAACCAAATCGCGTCGGCCAGCCACTTGCGCAACACCACATCCACCACATCCACTAAATCCACTACATCCACATCCACCACATTCACGTAGCATCCAAAATATCATTGCCATATGCGGTGGGCGTGCTCCGTTAATGCCACCGCCGCCGCCGCCGTTGCCGCCGCTGCTGCTGCTGCTGCATTGGGTGCTGCGCCCCCTCCTGGAATTAACATAATCGTGCTCAGCCTCTGCCGCCACCCTGCCCTCCTCTCCTGGCCAGAGCAAAGTGTTGAGAGCTGGCGATGGCTGTCAAGTGGTGGCTGCTGGGCATGCGAGATGAGGATGTGAGTTGACGTTGGCAATGGGCGGGGGGCTGCAGGCAGGCAGGAGACGGGAGGCAGGAGACAAATTTATGCCCGTGCAAACGTTTAGCACTTTTCGCCCCACTCTTGTGCAATGCGAGCAGTCGAAATTTGCAGGCTTTTGACTTTTCGAGTGTTTTTTGTCTTTCGTTTGATGTTTTTGGTTAAAATAAAGTTTTTAATTTTATGAAAATATGATTTAAAATTTTACTTTTCATTTTTAGCACAAGTGTGTGTGTCTATATATATGTGTGTGTGTATGTTTAGCTATATGTATATATATAATATATATGTATATGCGTGTGTAAATCTCTTGAAGCATTTCCACATAAATTTTTGTTTTATGTTTTTTATATTTTGTTGTATTTTCTGGTTTTTTTTTTTTTAATCATTAAGTTACGCTTAGACAAAATATTTACGTATTCTAACCTAAATGTATACCATTTCTTTTGTTTAGCATTCATTAATAATAATATATTGTTTATATAATTTTTGCTTGTTTTGCTTTTGTTTTGTAAATTTGAAACTATTTGCTATAAAAATGTTCAACAGCAAAATTATATGCATTGCATTTTGTTTTTGAAAGGTGGCCCAAAAACACATAGCGCACATATATTCTATTTTTTTTTTTTTTTGCATTTCTTTTTTTTTTTTTGATTTGTGGTTTTTTTTTTCTTTTTTGAAAAATTTCATAAAAATTGTTGTTAATAAAAATCCAACGTTTCGCTTTTGAAAATAAATGTCGCAAAAAACGTAAAATATTTTTTTTTTAAATTTACAATTACAAAGCACAGACACAAAAACTGTTTGTTGTTGTTGTGGTTGTTGTTAATTTGAATATCCTCTCGACAATGCACAGATTAATAATTTCTTCTTGTTTTAAAGCTATATAACAACAATTCAATTTCTGATCTGAAGCGATCCTCAAAACTATTTTCATCTTTCATACGTTTTTGCTTGATCAATTCATTTTTGGTTTCTACAACAACATTTAACAGCTAGGAAATAAATTACTGAATTAGGCAGCCAATCGGGGTACTTGACTCGGATGTGGATCGTTTACAATTGTTGATGCATAGGCTGAAGACCCTCAGTGCTGTTGTTGCTCATATTATCATTATTATAATTATTATTAGCTATACATTTGGAGTTGATTTCTATTACAAATATGTTTAAAAGCCGACAGAGAGGGAGAAGGGAGAGAGAGAGAGTGGGAGAGAACCTATTTTAAAAAAAACTGTTGAAGCCTACACATTGCACGTAACTATGTTTGTTTATGTTGCAGCTGTTGTTGTTGTTGTTGTTGTTGTTGTTGTTGTAGTGGTTGGTTCACTCATACAACACATCACATATTTTACAGTTTAATAATACTTTCTTACACATAATTTTGTTATCAGTGAGTTAGTGAATATATTCAGTTTTGTTGTTATTGCTGCTGTATGGTTGCTGCTGTTGTTGTTGTCTTCTTCTTCTTCTTCTCCTTCTCTTTCTTGTTCCCCGTCAATGTGTTGCGATTGCTGCTGCGGTTATTGTTGTTGTGGTTTTAGCTGCTGCCAGTTGCTGCTGTTGCTCATGCTGATTGATTGGCTGATTGTTTGACTCCTTAGGACAAAAACGGATTTGTAGCGGCTGCCTCAGGTTTTATCCACGGCATATTGTTGTTTTGCTGCAAGAATTCAATTCGAAATATTAGTTTAAATAACACTCAAACATCGAAGCTAAATCAAGCAAATCTACATGCAATTTTTTTTTTTTTCTAGCAGCTACGTTCGATTATATTAGTTGGTTAGTCAAGTGTAGTTTAGGTTTAGGTTTTTGTTTTTTTTTGTTTCGCCAGCTAGTGGGCATATTGTGGCTTTAGTTGCTAGTATTATTTGGGATAGCAGAGCATGCACATTCGAAAAAAACATTTTACCCATTTGCATTGTATTTATGGCATATTATTGCATTATTGTTTGTGTTTTATTTAAGCGTCCAAGCCTCCATTGTTGGCTACAATTAGAAAATATTATGATCAACTGTGTTTATACTCAATTTTGTTTCAGTTTTTCTTCAGCAGTTTAGCAGCTGCTTGTTAACAATGATTACTTAAGTTTTTTAGGCGTATTTCAAGGATAGAGAGAGAGAGAGTGACTAAGCGTTAGACAGGGAATGAAACTTTAGAGATTTGGATATACAATTAGAATACGATAAGAGTACAAAGTATATTCATTGAATCTAGAATTAATCTAGGGATTAAGACTCTATAAAGTTTATCTTAAACAAAAATTATTTTAGTTTTTCGAAACATTTTTATATAGTATGGAATTTATATCGTATATCTTAGTTATAAGCATTACAACTCAAATTAGAGCTTTGCCTATAGCGTAAATTTTGAAGTAAACAGTTAGTTAATTCAGTTTCATTCCCTGCGAGGCACTTAAGGCATTCTCTGGCATTTTTTTTTTAAGGAAATCATACACAAAAGAAAATCAAAATAATATCAAAAACACATCATAAATAAACAACAAACTAAATAAAACTCAAGCAAAGCAACAACAAATCGCAAATCTGTTTCGGTTTCTGTTTCTGTGTCTGGCAATATCAAGTAGCAGCAATAAGGAGAACTGCAGAACGACGAGCAACAGGATTAGGGCAACAAGTCTCCGACCAACTCACTTCCAGTTTGCAATAGGTGCCGCCCATGGCTGGGTTCGGATTGCCATAGATGCCGCTAGGGGGCGCCACGTTGCCGCTGTCATGGCCCAATGGGGAAATGCTCACGCCCGGCGTATCGGCCAATGATTCGGATAGGGCGCTGCTATAGCTATGCGTATAGGGCGAATAGCCGGGAGTATTGTAATTGCTGCTGCCATATTGCACCGAGGGCGATGGGGCCGAGGGGCTGTGGTAATATGAATGCTGCTGCGTTGGCGATTCACCCAGTATATCCATGTTGCGTATGTTGTCAATGCCGGGACTAGTGTAGCCATAGCTATGATTATAAAAATTGTTGTTGCCGCTCTGTGGATTGTTGTTGTTGTTGTTGTTGTTGCTATTATAAAACTGCTGCTGTGGACGGGACAGGGTAGGGGGTTTATTGAAGGCGCCTAGCAGCTGAAAGTCATCCATTAACTGCAAGCTAGTTGGACGCATCGGCTTTAGAGGATCGGGCTATGATTCGATTCGATTCGATTCGATTCGATTTGGATTTGAATTGTTGCATGCAACAGTTGCTCAAAATGTCAAAGCAAATTAAATATACATTTAAAAGGAAACAAAATGCAATGAAGAGAAAGAGAGGAAACGATAATAGTAGAGAAGTAAAAAGTAAAAGAATTACCCATAAATAATGATTAGACTAATCGCAGAAAGAATCTTAAACAATATTGATATATGGCAGCCACATAAACCTAGCCCACACTCACCTGAGAGGCTGCGCTGACGCCACCGGTAACCGGCGCCCACGGATCCTGATTCATATTGACGGGAAAGGGCGGCTGTTGTTTCAATTGATTGATGGACGGCACCTGATTTGATTGACAACAACAACGATAATTAGATACAAGTCTCTAGAGAATTTCTAATCATATTTACGGCTGGCTGTTGCTGCTGGAATAGATTCGTTTTGGGTGGCATCACATTGTCCGCGAATGGATTGTAGGCGGGCGCCAGTCCTGACTGTGTCTGTGGCGTATTTGGCTTAATTAGATTATCCAAATTAACCAGCGCTGAATTTTCGCCAAGGAATGCAAGCGGATCACGATAGGGCTTCTTTGTGGTGGCACCTGTTGATGGGTGCACTGAGCCGCTGTTGTTGCCATAGTTCGACGAAAGCGGGTCCATATCGTCCAGCAGCGAAGCTGTCGAGCAATCGAAACTAGTTAGCCAATTGAGCTGATTGAGGATCGGGTTAACATACCATTGTTGTTATTGGAGGCATTAGAATTCTTATGTTCGGCACTTTTATTGCGATTGGTTATCAAATCGAACTCATCAAAGTCGGGTGATTGTTTCTACAAGACGAGAGAGGAAGGAGATTAGCTTGAAGCGTTTATCATTACTGGTGAAATGCTCACCTTAATCGCGCCTGTCTGCATTGCCTTCCAGGGATCATCCAAGTTGGACGCACTTGGTTGCGCTGCTGTCCAGGGATCTGCTGAAGCAGCTGGCGCTGCAGCAGCTGCTGGCTGTGGCTCGCTTAGCCAAGGATCCGCAGAGGCACCATTGCTGGCCGCGTGTGTTGTAGGTGGAGCAGCAGCCAATCCGGGGCTGACTGCTGTTTTGGTCAGCCACGCGTCCGCAGGCGCTGGCGCTGCTATGCGACCATTTTGATTGGCATTGCCGTTCGTTTGTAGCCAACCCTCGTTGGAGGAGCCCGATGCCACGGATGGTGACTGTGTGCGCAGGCCCCAGGCATCGCCAGGTCCGCCCAATGCCTGAGGTGGCGCCTGTGCACCAGCTCCCAGCGGTACACCTGCACTCATAATCGTACGTGGCGCAGCCGCTGGATGCCACGGATCGACGTGGGGCGAGGCGGCAGCGCCTGACCAAGGATCTGACAGTTGACTAGCTGCACGGTTCGGAGGCGCAGCCCAGGGATCCACAACAGCTGCAGCGCCGCCAGCAGCGCCCAATGGTGGACTTGAAATGCTTGTCGCGCCCAGCGAGATGTCCAGCAAATCCAGCAAATGACTCTGTTGTTGCTCCTCCTTCTTAGGCGCCGAAATGGGTCGTCCACTAGAATCTCTGTTGTAGTGGGAGTAATATTAATAAGTGAGTTATCAAATTTATTCAATTACACTTACTTGAAGTCCTGCTCACTCTGGCTCAGTGCTAACTGCAGACGCACATCGTCGCTTCGCCGCTTGGCCTCCTCCTGCTCGGCTTCCTCCCGCGACATGGCCATCGCCAGCTGCAACTGCAGCTCCTCCTCGCCAGCTGTCTGTGGACGCACCATTTCCAGCTCGGACGCGTTTTTGGGCGGCTCCTCTTGCCAGCCCGGCGGCATGTCACGCTGTGAGGGTCCATCAATGTAGCCATCGCTGCCAAAGCCACTCGGATGCAGAGCAAAGCGTTCTTTGGCTTTCAACGCCTTCACACGCTCGTTCTTGAGCCTCTCATCGTCCTTGAGCAGATTAACCAGCTGTTTGGCCTTTTCGCGCACATGCGTACCCTGATCCTTGCCCTCCTCATAGTAGACAAACTCGCGCAACGTCTGTATGGCAAATATGTTCTCCTTGCACTGCTGGGCAACCTTATCGGTGCCCGTCTTAATCAGATACTCGAGCAGTATGAGCGCCTTGTAGACATGGCGCCAATTCTTGCCATGATCATTCAAGCGTTTCCATATCATTTGCATTATCTCCGAGAAGGCAACCACATTGTACGTCAGATCGGCTATCTCGGCCATAATCGTGGCCGATGGCCCCCATGGATCATTGGAAGTTGCCTCGCGTACCTTGACCTGACAATACGAGAGAAAAGGGATGTGTGAGTGATTTGGATGATACTAAGGACATTTCAATTCAACTTACCTGTGCATCGGAATAGTTGTGCGCGAGATTTTTGATGTTTCTGCGTAGCCCGGCGACATTGACCTGCATATCGTCTTTTTGTTTTCTCACTGTGTGACGAAAGGATTGAAGAGGCGTATTAACATGGCTAGAACTGACTGAATACAATTCTCTGCGTCTACAGTTTATGTTTGTACTAATACTCTAGATCTGCTAAACCTTTCTCACGAAATTTCTTATTCAAATCAAATTTATGTTTTGCTCGAATTTTGTATCTAAACATTTAAATGCTACCAAAAACAAAATGAATTCTGTATTGAAATGACTGTCACAATATACTTTATATATGTATATGTATATGAGAATATACAATCAATACAAACAGTAAAACACAAGAAATTTCACATATGTCGCACAGGGGCGCATCCGATCTTTGACAAAATAATTTTTTTTATAAACTATTACATGTAAAATTATATGGGGTGGGCGTGTATCTATGTGTATGTGTGTGTGTGTGTGTTTTGTCCAAAAACTGAAAAACAAATGCGTGTGGTTTATACATTTTCAGAAAACAACAATAAAATTCTTAGCTACTGTTCAACTGAAAGCTCGGCTTAAAGCTTCAAACAACTGTTATACTCATGTTCACATTTATAGTGTCATGTATCAAATATAGATGTTAATAATATATGTATATATCAAGAAATCAAAGGCGGTGTATTTTAAGTAAAAGTTTATGCAAAGAAAACATTAAGACTTACTTTTCGGTTTGTTTTTGTTTTTTGTTTCTTTGCGATTGACTTATACAAGTAGATATTTTGTTTGCTTTTGCTTATTTGCTTTCTCTATATGCTCTATATATAGGAGGTGTTTTTTAATTGCTTGAATTTGTCTTTAGCTTTATTGTTTTGCTGTTATAAGTGCTCCAAAGCAAGCTAAGTATGAGATACAAGATAATACAATCAAAATACATAGTATAAGAGTACATTGAGATATATGTATATATTTGTAAGTATATATAGAATTAGAAGAGTTGTGAAGTATTAGGGCACATTAAAACAATAAGTGCAATGAAATTATATAACTTTAACGAGAACATAAGAAAAGTAAACTAAATTGTGCTCGCGGTGCAGGTCCAAGTTCAAGTCTAGAATAGACCCACAACACCCTAAACACGCCGGAGGTACTTGTAATTCAATTTGCATAAAAAAATAATAGATAAAAGCAAACAAACGAGTAAAAACTAATAAACAGCTACGAACAAAGTCGAGAATGAAATGCTCTTTGCAAGCAACGCAGACAGACAAAAGCTGAGTGTTATGTATGTTAGTTGTATAAGAGAAAATATAAGACTGGTGTGCTAATTACACACAGTAGATCTTGGCAATATACCCTTTCCTGTCACAGAAGCCACATAAATGCAGCAAACAGACAGCGACAATGGGAAAGGGTATTTGCTATAAATAGCAAAAGTTTGGAATAAGCAAAATTGCAGCTAAGCTGCATTATACAAAACAAAATGAGAAATAACTATAACTGTTGTTATATTATCACTGACAGAAAATCGAACAAATCGAAGCAGAAGGAAGGTGTCTATGTATGCTGCCCGACCTTCGACTGTTAATCAATTAAACAACAAAAAACACAAACTAATTTCACATGTGTTAATGCAATTAAATACAATTTCTTATTTCTTTTAATGATTTGTAAACAAACATTTTAGCGAATGTTTTTGCGATGCTTTAGAGTAGCACATAAACAACACAAGTTAATACACAAATCACGTCAGAGATCAAGGAGATTTTACGACATTGCCTAATTTCAAGCTGATAAGATATCAGCGCGCAATAAGAGTTTATTCTATTTGCTGTCACTCAGAGCCAGAGCCAGACGCAGAGCCAGAGGCAGGTAGACAATTAGCACACATATATTTCGACATCACGAGAATCGAGAACGAGTTGGAATGCGTAGTAATTGCCGTTAAAGTGTGAGTGAGTAACGCACTTGACACATATTGGAGCCGGCTTCAAAAGAAACTTCGTGCAGATTTCGAACTCGAAAAGAGCACAAGAGTTCGAAACTAGTCGAACGAGTCTACCTATGTGTAAATGAGTGCAAGTGTGTGTGTGTGTAAGTTTTTGTGAATGCTGCGAGATTCATTGACCGCTGCTCAGTTGTAATAATGGGCCGTGCGTGCAGATCAGTGAGAGAAAGAGAGAATGAGATAGACACAGAGAGCAGTTGAAATGCGGACCGGTGGCTAGCGGTTTGTTTGTTTTGTTTTGTTTCCTCTCGCTCTTTGCTCGCTGCAGCAGAAAAGTAGTAAAAAGCAACACGAATAATTTAATTAAATGTCGCACAAGAAACAAAAAATACAAAAACAAGCAAATTTAGTCAAATTAATTGAGGAAGTGAGGGGGAGGTGCATTGGCCTGAACTTGAGCCAGACAGGCCATTAGCGCGAAAGAGAAAGGGAGCTCGGCGAATTCGTGGGGTGGTTGTTACGACGCGAACTTTCTTTGTTGTGACGCTTTATTTTTGCACTTGACTTTTGCAGTGACGACGACGACGACGACGACGACGGCGACGTTTTTATTGCCAAAAATATATTAGGGTGTATGGGTGTGCATGTGTGCGTGTAGATATAAACTGAACAGCTTGCGACCAGAGAAGCCTTGAATTTAACGTCAAGTTCAATGAACGGCTGGCCAAAAAACAATTCGCACAACGGAAGCGCAGCAGCAGCAGCGGGCGAGAGCTTTGCCGAGATCGAGATCACAAGCGAGACTGAGCAGGCGAATGAGTGCGTGATGCGAATTGATACGAATGTTATTTAAATGGCAACCAACAAGCAACAACAAGCACACTCGAGCACACACATTAGAGAAAATATTCCGTGCTCTTTGTGTGTTGTTGTCTAATGCCATTATGAACCCCTTTGTTTGCGGCTTGTCCGTTTTATCGTTTAGCGCAACGTTGCGAATGTGTGGAATCGATAATGGGGGTATGTGTAGTCGAAGGTCAGTCAGCATTTGCATAGCGTAGCCCACTGTGCAGGTCTCTGATCTTACACTCGCTCTCTTCCTCTCCGACTCTCTATCTCTCTCTCTTATTACTAATGTTGCATTTGGTGCATACGGGCGTTAAATGTGGGGCGTATGCATTGCATTTGTGTGTGAGTGTATGCCTATATGAGCGTGTGCGTGAGCGTTTGCTTGTGTGTGTGTAGCTGTGTGATAACAAATCGAAAACGAAAATAAAGATTAGATTTCATAACTGCATATGTGTGTGAATTTGTATATTTATATTTATAGTTGGTATGCATTGAAACCTGATATAGAAAGACACCTTCATTCATTAGTCACTTCTATCGCGGCGAAATGGGCAACATAAACCAGTTCCAACTATGACTAAGCGGCGAGGCGGCGGCGAAACAAGCCGGCGAAAATACACAGTAACAACTGTTATCAACAAAATAAATATACTATATAAATAAAAAAAATAAATCATAGCTACAACTACGAAAACTATTAAGAAGCGCGCACAGTTATTATTATTTCCTTAGTGCACAACGAATATAACAACTTCCGTTAAGTGAGGCACACATTTGTGACGTACATTCACGTATACACATACATGTACACATCTGTACAATATGCTTGCCTTGTTTACAGTATTCGCTGCCAATAATAAAATATATATATAAAAAAAATTAACAAAATACAAACACAAAGAAGCAAACTAAAGAGAAATGCTCGCCCCAAACGCTGCCCACGTCCGCTTACCTGCTGCAATACTTCTTCTCTCCGCTCTGTGCGTTGCGTTTGCTGCAGTTAGCTAGTCCGTGTTTGTTGTCTGTGTGTGTATGGGGATGTGTGTGCGTGTATCTGTGTAGGTGTGTGTATATAGTGTATAGTGTTTCTATATCTGTATATGTGTGTCTGTGTGGAGCTCCAAGAAACAACGACAACTACTCCTCCCAGCTAGTTTGATATATTTTTACGACTTTCTTTTTGTACACCCGACACAGTCACAAGACGATGACAACAGACGGCGACGTCAACAAAATTGCAATAGAAACCAATTATATGCAGTTGTAGTGTACGCGTTATTTACACAATTCTTTGCACAAAACACACAATTGTTAGCCAAATATTATATGAAACAGAGCAATGGATTTCCTTGTTTTGTATGGCTTTTGCGATTGCTTTCTTTTTCTGCTGCTGTTTTGCTCCGTCTCCTATCGCTGACGATGGTATAACTAGAGAAAAGAAGTTATGCGATATATCGATATAATAGTGGAGATGAAACTACGTGCTATAGCTATCGATGGCTCAACGCGACTGTCGATTAAAAAAGCTAAAACTGAAATTAGAAGAGGACCAAATGAGAATTGAAAAAATTCAAGTTATTATGTTTCTTATATTTATTTCTTATAATAGTATTGAATTAGTTCTATTTTATCGAAGCAGCTAATGCAAGTCATGGTCATAATATCGATAAGTATGTTAACTAACGTTGTCGTGTTATTGAGAAGCCGCCACACAATGTTAGTGCATGAATACTGTTAATTAACAGCAAATATTATTTATAGCTATCGAAATTGGTTTCTGGCGCGAGCATTTGAAAACATTTTATAGTCGACTTAGGCATAAATGCAATATTGAAACAAATAATTCTTTTTCTTTACGACTTTATTTAGAATACCATTTTCATTTTCGTTTATATAATTACGCGCTACAAACTAAATTCATTTGTTAACCAACTGATAACAATATATAATTTCATTCTGTGTTTTTATGTGCGTTGCTACTGCTGTGTGTGTGTGTGTGTGAGTGTATGTGTTTTTCGTGTATAGTTTGTTCGCTTTCTTTTTGTTTTAACATTAACTTTTTCTTATTTATTTTATTTTTATTTTTTTGTTCCTCTTTTTCTGTATGTGTTTTTTTTTATTTAACTCTAAGTACCTACTTGTAAAACTTTTCAACGTATGTATATGGTGTATACAGTTATTTAAATATTTATATTGGCTCCTCTCCTGCTTTCCTACTGGCCAGACAAGCTGCACCCACCCCCAAATTATGTGCCCACCCGCCCAGCAATCAACTTATAACTTAAAGCCGGTCCAAAGTATCTTTCGTCCTTGCGTCTGTTCGGGTCCGGATCCGCTCGAAAATATTTTGCTGTTTCTCTTTTTTTTTTTTGTGAACTTTCTCTTTGCTTTGACATTATTTGTTCGATTCGATTTCACGTTTAAACTTAGATTAACTTAAGACATACAATCCATAAAAGTTTCATTGCTTGCCACGCCCCCCAAAAAGCACGCTACTCCTCGCCTACGCCTGCCAGCGCCTTTACAGTTAAATAAATCTTGTGATGTGTATGTGTGTGTGTTCTTTTAGTTTTAGTTATTTTTTCTCTGCTTCTTCTTCTCCCCATAGCGACTCCTCACTGCTCCGGCGGCTCTTCGGGTATTTGGAGATTCTGTGCCGCATGCTCCACATCGCCGAGCAGCACCGACGGATACTCCTCGTGCACCGAATTGGACTGCGAGTCGGCGTCCTCGTCGAGCAGATTCGATTTGCTCGCAGGCACCGGCGTCGGCACCAACACCACATTCGGTATATACTCGACCGTCTCATACTCTGTTTTGGCCACCGTATCGGCCTCGGCCTGCTCGACCGGATTGGCCTTCGGCTCTGGCGGCAGCTCGACAGCCTCGTCTGTGGCATTCATCTGCGATGGCTTCATCTGAGTGGGCTCCTCGATGTCCAGGACAACGGGCAGCGTATCATTCGGTTGCGGCGTTGTGGTGCTGGTGGTTGTGGTGGTTGGTGCTGTGGTGGTTACCATATCTATCGGATTGACCGGAGTGGGTGTTGTCACTGCAATAACAGTGGGTGGATTCGTGGTCGTTGTTGTTGTGGTTGTTGTTGTCGAAGTTGTTGACGATGTTGTTGTTGTCGTTGTTGGGTTTGTTGTATTCGCTTCCCCGAGCGCTGGCGGCGGCGTGGTTGCGGCTGCGGCCAGCAGCAATGTGGGTGCCACTGCCGGCGGTGCAGCTATGATAACCGGATTGATCAGCGGCTGTCCGAGTGTCGCAATTATCGGCGGCAACAGCTCGTCGTTGTTCTTGATCAAGATGGGCGACGGCACCAGCATCTGGACCAGCGGCTTCGCATCCTCAGCATCGACTATCTTGAGCTTGGTCACCAGCAGCGGCAAATCGTAATTGTAGAGCATCGGCAGCACTGTGCACACCTCCTGATCATTCTCGAAGCACTGCGATCGGCCACGTATGCGCGCATCCTGCGCGATCATCAGGCGACACAGCTCGTTCAGGCGCACATCACACATGATGGGATTGTCTAAGGGAGAAAAGTGGGAAATAATGTGAGAAGCGAGAAGAGATGGATGTACGTATAACACTGGGCAAATAATAGAGGGTTTGATCTGTCTCTCTCTCTACTCACTCACCATCTAAAAACATCTCCAGTTTGCCAGGAACATTGTGATTCTTGCAGCGCGTGTTGGTGACGAGCTCACTAGATATGCTCGAGATTTGATTGTTGGTCAGATTGACCTGGCAGAGCATGGGCAGGCCATAAAAGTCGTGCTCCAGCTTTGTGATGTTGTTATAAGCCACCTTCAGGATCTTCAAACTGGGCAGCAGAGTCTGCAGAGAGAAGAAGAGAAGTTAAGCTTAGTATTATCATTCGTCCATCATCCACTCTATAAAATGCTTACCGTTTCCAGCTGCTTCAGTTCAACCAATTGATTGGCGGTCAAGTCGAGTATTTCCAGTCGATTCATGCCATTCAAGTCTCCCGGTTGTAGATATTCGATACGATTCTCCGGCAGGCTAAGTATGCGCAGATGACTGAGGCCCGCCAGTGCCGAGTCCAGAGTAACAATTTGATTATGATCCAGGCGCAGATCGATGAGAGCCAGCTCGGGGCTGTGCTTGTGGGCGGGCAGCAGCCGCTGAATGCGATTGTAGGACAGATCGAGCACCCTCAGGGAGCGCATGCCATGCAGCTCCTCCATGGAGAACTCCTCAATGTCGTTGAACGAGAAGTTGCCCCGCGTCAGCTTTACCATCGGATGCAGCGAGAAGTTCAGCGAGCGAATGTGATTGCAGGCCAGATTCAGCGTGTCCAACTGCCGGCACGACTGGAACTCATCCTGGGCCAAGTACTCCAGCTCGTTGTTATTCGCCAGCAGCTCGGTCAAATGTTGGGCATTCCTCAGCACGCGATCGAACGATCGCAAGCGATTGAAATGCAAGTGAATGATCTCCAGATCGTCCATGGTGGCCATGTTCGCGGGCAGATGCTCCAGTCGATTATTGTGGGCCATGAGGAGACGCAGCTTACTTCCATCCGGCAGCTCCTTATCAAGATCACTGATATTGTTTGCATTGATAAACAGTGAATGGAGATTGGTTAATTCGGCCAGGGATCCATTCAGCGATTCCAGTTGATTTCGACCCAAATGCAGTATGAGCAAGCTGAGCGGAAAGGCGCCACGATCAAGTCGAGTTATATTATTGCTGGGCAATATCAAATTCGTGATCTTCTGTATGCCTTTCAGATCGTCCTGCTGCACGACTCGTATGTTGCAGCGGCTGATGTCGAAGGTCTGCAGCAGCGGCATGTGATTCAAGACGTGCTTCGGAATCTCGTCGAGTTCGTTGTCGGCGACGCTTAAGTAGGTGACATTCGATAACCCGCGAAATGGCAGCTCTGGCAGCGATCTATAAATAGTCACAAACAACACAGAAAATAGAATATATACGTTAATGCCATTTCCATATGCGAAATTGTTAGAATAACAACGCAGCAGACCTACTTTAGCCACTGGGCGCAATCACAAAATTGAATTATCTTTTGAAGAAGATCTTGAGTTGGAAACAGGGAATAAATATTTAAACGCCAACAAGGAAAAATTTGAGGAGAGCAAAAACTTTGGATATTAAATATCTTATGATTTCTATACTGCATACTTTTTGGCGCACCTGTGCGAGTGATACGTGATTTAGATATGTACATATCTGTTCATGTATCTGTATCTATGTATCTGTATCAATGTCAGCACAGATACATTGAACAGATAATGTATCTGTGCTGACGTATCTGTATCAATAGCTCTAGCTCTACGTGTATCTATGTATCTGTATCTATGTATCTATGTATCTATGTATCTGTATCTGTATCTGTATCAATATCTCTATCTCTGTATCTGTATCTGTATCTGTATCTGTATCTGTATCTGTATCTGTATCTGTATCTGTAT